AGAAGACAGTGTCWGTCCTTATCCTACCAGATTCCACCTCTCCTACATACCCCCCCCCCCTTCTTTGGCTCCACTTCTTCACTCTGCTTTGTTAGTGCTTTGCTTTCTGTCAGCTCTTAAGTGTTGCAGTTCCCCCAGGCATCCTTCCTTCTCTCCCCTAGAACTCTTCCTGGGCAAACCTGTCTATGTCCAAGGCTCCCCTTCATATCTATTCACTAAAGCACCTAAATGATTATGTGTGGCCCAAAGCTGTGAGCAGCAAGCTCATGTGTCCAACTAGGGTCTGCACTCATCTGCAATTAGATGCCCCATGGCCCCCTCTGTCCTCCTTTCTGAACTCAGCATCATCCTCCCTGGACCCAGTTCTCCCGTGTTCTCTGCCTCAGTGATGGCACCGCATTCATCCAATGCAGGACCACAGCTGGGAGCCAAACCCAATCTCTTTCTCCTCCTAGTCCTTTAGATTGACTTTTAAAAGGTACTGTTTCTATCCACCCTCACTGCAAAAAAGACCTGCACTATCATTACCTCTTCCAAGAACTAAGGTATCTAATTGAGCTCTATGTCTGCCCTTTCTTTCTCCAGTGCCTTTCCCACACAGATGTTGATTATAATTCCAAGAAAACCACATCTCTTAGAACCACAGTTGATATCTTCCTCATGACCCACCTCTGCCTCTGCCCTCCTCATCAGCCTGGTCTGGCTTCTCTCCTCCCTCTCTGCAGCATGCCCTTGCCTTCCTCTGCTGGGGGAGGCCTTCATCTCGCCTCATGGGCTTTGCACCTGGGCATTCCTGGCCTGTGGATGCCTCCCCCTCTCCCATCCTTGTCTTTCAAGCTCACCCTGAGATTTTTTTTTTTAGTTCAGACATTGCTTCCTCATGGAAGCTTTTCCTGGCTCTCAGACAATTCTGAACTTGCAGAGAACGTTGGGCTTCTCTTCTGCAGCTCTCAATACAGTTGAAATTTTGAACGAACCATACAATGACTTGCTTAGTGGCTGCCCCTCCGCTGCCACGCAGGCCCCGAGTCCATACTTTCTCATTTGTCCCTGTGGTCCCAGCTCCTAGCACATACCTAAGGCTGCCATCAAAATTACTAGTTAAGAAGTGACCATAATAAAGATGTGTATTTTCAAAATGGTATGAAGTAAAGGCACTGCAAACAGATAGCTCTTGTGACTTTCCTGGAAATACCATTCTCAACCAGATATTCAGATTTTCTCCATTTTTTTTTTTTTTCCTGAGAATTGACAGCCACTCACCTGTCTGTTCACCTCCATTCCTTTCGGTGCTGCTGTCCAGACTACCTTCATCCTGTTCTACTTGCTTTTTCCACCAGTACCTTCCTCCTATTCATCTTTTATTCCCTTCATGTGACCCTAGAGTTCCAGATGACTACCCTATTCTGGGCCACCAAGGTAGAAAGGCACAGGCAGTGCCAGAGGAGACCCAAAGTGGAGGGCTAGCCTCGGTGCTGGTTGGGAAGCCATGAGGAAGACAGAAATATCATACTCTCTCCAAAGGATCATGGATCTCCCCTCACACTGTCACCTGCTTACTTCCAGTTCCCAGCGGCCCTCCATCCACAACCATCCTGGCCTCCTCAAACAAAGTGAAAGGCGGGGATGATATCAGTGTGCTCTGCACTGTCCTAGGGGAGCCTGATGTCGAGGTGGAGTTCAGGTGGATCTTCCCAGGGCAGAAGGTAAGCGCCACATCTCAGCCAGCCCTTTTAACTCATGGTTTTAAGAACTGCAAGAAACCTATGGGACAATGGTAGGGACCAAAGCCTGTTTTTCTCTAAATTAACTTCAGCATATTTCCAAAATGAATTTTTTAAGGACAATAAAAGGGATTGGTTCCATTAGGTAAGTCACTCAATGTGCCCTCTTTGTATGCAGTTTTTCTTCATTACCTTAATTGAGACAAAAGGGAAAGGAGGAAACTCCCTCTATCTTCAGTCTCCTCTTGTAGGTATGCCAGAGGCTCTTCACAAGGTTCACTTACACTCTGTGCTCTGGGACGAGGAGCTCTGAGCAGATATCCACCAACTGGGCATATAAACATGGCCCTGTCCAAAAGGTGCTGTGAGGCCAGATACCATTTAAAAATAGACTTTCCATAAAAGCAATTATAGGCATATTTAGGCTTTGTGCATGCTCTGCTTGCAAAAATAAATAGCTCCACTACCAACATGGAATAATCCCTTTGTTGCCAGAGGAAATTTGGCCCCTTAAGTCATACTCAGTAGCCAGTATACTTCTGGACTAAGGCTGTGATGGGTGGAAAATAAATACCTCCGGAGAATAGTATTTTCTAGCATCCTGGTACTTGATGCTTGTTTTTAAGCAAGTGTTGCCACACTTGGAAGGCATTAATGATTTTTAATAGAGGGCTTTTTTTCTTCATTGCTAAGTGATATTTTGTGAGCAGAAAAACTCTTAACTTAGTAATATATTACCTTTATCAAATGAATTCAGAAACACTATGTTCTTACCACCAAAGTGGGCCAAAATATTTCAAAAGTGACCATCTCCTTCTAGAAAGAGGGGCCACATTATCCACAGCATCACTTTATCCATCCTCAGTACCAACAAACCTCTTCTCCCTGGGGTTTGAAGTCACCTTTGCCTGGCTGTGCTTCTCCCTCTCCTGTGTGTCAGTGCTTGGGAGTTCTTCATTTGCTGAAGAGTGCCTGGGTGTCCGACTTTTAAGTTTATAAATAAGAACCACCTGAGGGGCTGAAGGTGGGGAATGTGAAGACAGGATCAGTAGGAAATTCTGTTCACGTTTTTATGCTTAATACTAGTTCCACTTGGAGTTCCAAAAAAAGACATTTTTATACTAAGTAGAAACTTACTCAAGGGCAGAAAGAAATCATCAAACAGTATCCTGAAATTCAGTTCTGCTGGGGGAAAAAAAAATGCAGCCTTAAATGATTATAYAGTGTAAAAGCTCTCAGAGTCTCCGAGCTCTGCATACCAAATAGTCTTTTCTAAGCATGTGCTTTGCACTTTGAAAGGAAATTCAGTGATGTTGGATGCACAGGAGCTGTTTTAGAGCAGCCTGCTGCCCTGCTTCAATCTGTGTGGATGTCTTTAAACAGGATGAAAGGCCCGTGGCGATCCAAGACACTTGGAGGCTGATCCACAGGGGACGYGGACACACCACAAGAATCTCCCAGAGCATCATCACAGTTGAAGACTTTGAGACCATTGACGCAGGATATTAYATTTGCACTGCTCAGAATCTCCGAGGACAGACTACAGTAGCTACCACTGTTGAGTTTTCCTGACTTGGAAAGTGAAGTCTAATGGACTGATGGAAAGCCCATTTGTCTACACAGTTGGCTTTGGGGTTCTTTTTATTAGTGCTTTGCCAGAGGCTGACATCAAGTGCCAAGCCCCAACCCCTGCCTGTGAGTCAGACTCAGACATCCAAACTACAAGGAAGTCATCCATCTATTAATAGAAGTGTTAACTTCTCTAACAGAAAGCATGTATTTTGATTGCTTACCTACATCCATGTGTTTCTAGTTTTTATACTAAACAAGCATATGTCAATGAGTTTATATAATCATTTCTATTAAATGAGCAAGTTTTTAAAAAACAAGCATTTAGCCCATTTTTCTAAGTGGGCTTGAAGTACATCCAGAATTACTTTGGCAGCAATATTCAGGTCAATACCCAGTATTCTTTGATATAACAGCCACACTACCATTTCAAAATGTGCTTATAGTTTGACGAGTGGCCACTTGTGGGTAAGTAAAGATTGAAATATTCAGACATGGCACTTTTTCTCAGTAACTTTAAAGCTAATGCGACTTATTGATGAAGGCATTAAAAAAAAAGCCTATTTAAAAAAAAAAAAACTGCTGTGCTCAAAAGCACTAATTCTAGTCTATTTGATAAGAACCAGAGCAGGCATTTTTAAAAGTTTAACTTTTAACCTAATGTAGACACCATGATTAAGGAAGATATGATTGTCTAGACCCATCTCTGAAAATATTTAGACCATAGCTGTTCCAATTTTATGTTACACAGCAGAAATTCTTAAAACAAGCCAAAATATTTCTCAACACACATCTTTGAATTTAGAAAAGCTTAGCCCTAACTCTAGCTCTGTGAGCCAAATTTCAGCCCACAACGAATTCTGTGGTTGCCTTGGAAATTCTTGTTGGAATAGGAGATATGACCTGAACTACTGAGCTGAGAGGGGCTACGCATGGGTAATGCTTTGAAGAGCAAAGTAGGGCAGAGGCTGCAATTCTTACAGTGAATATTCCAGCATTATTTATTTGATCAAAGTAAAATACACTTTCCAACACTACAAACAGCACAACCACAGTTGTTTACACATCCATATTTTTAAGATGTGCCAACATTTTGCATCCTACATGAAACATTTGGTTTGGAAAAAAAAAATCTTAAAAGTTCTCTATTTCTTTTTTCCTATCTTCTCTCCTGTTGTCTCCCATCCTCTGAAGACACGTTAAACTAATTGCTATGATTTATTTCCCAGACACCTAAATGGTATGGAGGACAGCAGAAAATAGCACAAGATTAATCATGCATAAGGGGTGAATGGCAAACCCAATTTTGGCTAATGTCATTGAGAACAACTTGGAAGCATGAGCAGAGATTCCAGGAGGTGGCAGTGAACCTGCGTTCCCGTTCATCTGAAGCAAACATGGATGATTACATACATAACAAACTATTGCAGGTTAAAAACTTCCAACACAATCACTAATGAAAATAACATGCATCATGAATATCAATTTGCTACGTAGTGTACAGGTAAGGTGATGACTCAAATATCCACCTCTAGTATCCTGAGTCTACAGGGGTTATATTTGCATAGTCATCAAATGCAGATTAGTAAATACTGACATCACAATGTTGACACATGCAGAGAGAAGGGAAAAAGCCACAGTTGTCCTTCCACCTTCCCCAAAGTCCTAGAAGTAGGGAAAGTAACAAGTGAATTTTTGAAGAGAAACTCGAACACAACTTGGAGAGTTGTAAAAGCCACATTTTTCCACTCATCGGCTGGCCATTCTGCTACCTTCCCAAAGACAGCAGGAGTCCTTAAAGGGTATCCCCAAGAGAGCATTATTCCCAGACAGTTTGGTTCTAGCAAACACTGCATCACTGGCTTAGTCAAGGTGCCATGTTCACAGACTGCTCAACACTATCTTGGTTCTAGCCAATGACATTCTGTTTTCTCAAAGGTTTCCCAAAATGTGTCAATTCAGATCCAGGCCTTGGTTTATTTGGAAAATAGGTTCAGCACCTTGAAGAGCTGGCTCTGGAAAAGCATATTCCTCTATCCTTGTCCCAGAGAAAAGCAGGTAGGAGGTAGAAGGTTTGCTTTTGTGACTCTGGATGGTGGAGAAAGGACAAAGGGAGAGATGAGGATAATAGGAGAGAAGACAGACAACAGCTTAAATCTGTAAGGAGAACTTAGATCAAGGTAAAAATAAGGCAGAACAATCCATTGCTACTGCCCTTTTTTCTTTATACAGATTTTTTTTTTTTTAGAAAAATTAGGGTTCTACATTTGCTCATAGCCTGAGAAAATGGATCATAGCATAGTGTGAGGCTGTAAAAAATCTACAGGTAAATCAAGCTAAGTTTCAACTGACAGGGCTGAACATTGAAAAACTGCCAACGTGTTACTCCAAAAAATGATAGGGAGAATATACAGACTTCGACAAGTCAAAGCTTTTCCTGTCGCACCCTCTCCCCACCTCGTTACAGGGCTGAGCAGAGACGGTGGTAGATCATTAAAATTCAAGCAACTATTGCTTTTTCTTTTATGGCTTTTGTTGAAACAGGTGCACTATGATTTTCTTAGTCCATACCCAGTTATATTAAGCTTTTGACTTTTAATGTGCAGCAAAGAAGGCTGCCCCAGACACAGGACACTGTTACATCCATTTCATTCACACCCCCTACCCACAGTCCGACCGAAATAAAAAAAAATCACAAGAAGGTGTCTGTGGTGAAGAACATTATAAAGGTTATAAATCTTTATCTTAATAGGCCCCTGAGAGTTTTTCCCCTTATGCTTAAGTGAAAAAGGCAATGAACAAGATTCTCTCGTTCCTTAAGTGCKCTGTGCAACAATGTCCACGTCGATCCCGAAATCCTTTTTTGGAGGAGTCTTCTGCAACCAGTCCAAAGTGTTCCTCCAGAGTCCCCGTCTCGTAACTAGCCAACTCTGGTGGCAGGTGCTTTCCAGTTATTCTGCAGTAATTCCACATAAGCTAATGTAGCTTTTGCTCCCACAATCACTATTGGGGTCGGTCCTGCAAACCTGCGCCCAGGTGCCTTCAGAGAGTCTGTTGGCTTTCAGAAAGCGTCATCTGGGTGAAACGCTGGGGCTGGGGAAGGAGCCAGAATTCCTTGGTGACTGAAAAGGGATGGCTGAAGACGTGGGGGATCTCTTGGGGCTACACAAGTCCCCGTTGTGCAGCTTCCACAGCAGCTCCTCATTCTCCATGGAGAGGCGCTTGTTGACTTTCGACTCCTTCTCCAGCGACTCCTGCAGCACTGCTTGCTCAGTGGAGAGTTGCCTTAAAGACAAAAAAGGGCCAGAAGCCGTGTGGGTCTAAGTTAACAGCAGCAGCTTGAAAAAATTTCTTACCACTTACAATCTGAAAGCTACACCAATAAAACAGAACTCTACACATGGCTACAGGTTATTACGCTGGCTTAGAAATCCACATATTGAAAGCATAAGCTGAAGCCAAAAAAAATTATATTTTGGGGGCAACTTCATAGTAGGCTATGACACTTCTGTGAGAATTTTCCATGTTTTCTGACTGTCTGAGGTTCAGGGTTATTTTCTTTTTGTCTAAAAGCATTCAGAGTGCTTAGGCGGGGGCTCTGGGAGAAGGCTGTTCACCCAGGTCTGTGTTCAGTCCAGACCACTTTGGTAACAGCATGGACACCTCCGATCCCACTTCCCAGATGATCAGTGCCTCCATAACCCCCAGCTTCAGTCACGTGACCAGGAGGTCCATGGGGGAATGAGCCAAGACAGTAAGGCTACAATCAAGGATGGGAGGGGCTAGGAAAGAATGGGCCGTTCCATTTTTACCTTGAAATTGCCATGTGCTTGTCCATCCGAGCTTTTAATTCCTCATTCTCCTGCTGGAATCGCTTCAATTTGTCAACCAAGGCTGTGTTGTTGTCCACCTTGGTGAAAACGAGAATTCCMACATTTATAGGTAATAAAAAACAAACAGAATCCCCTCATTTTTTTCAGGCACATTCCTGATGCAAGCACACTTTGGGGAGACTAAGGGAAATTTAATAGCATATTGGAATATTTAGACACTGGGACACTGCAGAAAGAATCAATCTACAACAGCAAAACAGAGCATCTAGATTATGTATTTTTGAAAATGGTATGTTTCACTACCGACATATCCAAGTTGAAACTTTGTTTCAAATTCCTCCTGAGAGCTTGTTCCCTGCTGGGTCTTTCCCTTTCAAAGTGGTAAAATAAATACTGCAGCTGAATGGCCAATGTTTGTCAAAGTYATTACATCTTATGGCGATTTTTGCAAAAATAAAAAAAATAAAAAATTTCTCACATCTGATGAAAACTCCTAGGTCAACATTTCATAGTTCTTGGTCAAAGAACTTCATGTTCTAGGACATTAAGAAGGCCTTAAATGCATCTCMTGGCAGTTGCCTCTGCATGGCCAAAGGTACAGTGCAGTGGAGCACAGCACCAAACAGAAGGGGTAACACTGCAGAACCAAGGGGTAACACTCCGTCTTGGTTCAAGACACATTTGTTTTGCTGGACTGCCAAGGCTAAACCATCAAGAACCAACTGATCAGCTGAGAGATTAAAAGATAAGATCCCTGAAGACATTTAATCACTTAACACGATGGAGAGCCGATTCCATCCAGTTCACTTTTCAAAGGTACGATTTCATTACTTGCTTAAGAGGCAACATCACAGTTTGGTCAGAATTAATCCAAACCTCTGTCATTGCAGTATTAATGACTAATCCACTTTGATCCAAGTGCCTAGTTTGGAGCTTTGTTGTCATTTTTTGTTAGTTTTGCAGAACCCAGGGCCACGGGCATGCCAGCAAGCCCTCTACCACTGAGCTATATCCTCAGTGCCCAGTTGCTCCTAAAACATCCTCATATCCAGGAAATGCTCAGCACAATCCATTCAGGTGAAATAACTTTCCAGAAAGTGACTACAGAATAAAAGAAAAAGGAGACCTCAAGATACWTAGTAATTATGAAGGAATTCAAGATGAAAATTAGAGGTGGGAAAACCTGGGTTTAAGAGACTAAGTGGGGACTGGTGTTAAAATATTCTCATCTAAGCCTCCATTTTTTTAGAAGAGGAAATTGGTCCTGATAATGATACAGAACTAAGTATTTATCTATTTTGGGTATTAGGGATTGAACCCAGGGGTGCTTTACCATTGGGTTACATCCCTAGTTCTTTTTGTATTTTGAGATAGGGTCTAAGTCGCTGAGTCTCACTAAGTTGTCCCCAGTCTTGTGATCCTCCTGATTCAGTTCCCAAGTTGCTGGGACTATAGGCTTGTGCCACCATGCCTGGCCAACAGATCTAACTACAGACAGAGCTGGTTTTCACACACACCACTGCTTTTTTCCTTAGACAACCTCTTCGAAGACCTGGAACTTGCTATAAGTAAGTTGATGGTGGCTGTGCCCATCACAGCAGCAACCCATCTACTGTGATGCCCCTTGGGTGTGGCGAGAGACAGAAACACCACGGGTCAACAAAAACTGAAATGTGCTGGTGCTTTCACAACAGCGTCGATTTCATTACATATCATTTCTGAAAAGTTCTGTTCTATGAACGGCATATGAGGCAACAAATTATTAACAGGATTATCTCTCTCGTCACTACCTGCTGTCCAATCTGGTTTAACAGGATGATTGTTGGCAGGAACTGGTATAGCTACTAGGTTGGGCCATTAACAATCATGAGTTCCTTTCATTTCTTTAATAAGACCAAGATTTCCTGATGATATCAAGTGTCCATATATCCAAGTGGGGGCCTTAGCCATTACCTTCCTCAAAAGACAAATAATAGTCTCTAAAGAAAAYCAAATGAAACCAAACTTGGCCAAATCCCCAAACTCCCAACAAACAAATGCCAAACAGACCAAGAGCGACCTCCATGCTCCTACTGTCCAGGGCTAGTCTGGGTTTGAATGAGGAACTTATTTGACAATGAGTCACCCACAACAGGGGTGGGGGTGGGRGTGGGGGTGGTAAGCAGTGCTTGGAGGCTGGCTCCTTCCAGAGCACAGTACAACAACAACCGGGATCACTGAAGCTGCCTGGCCAAACCTGCCAACTTGGTTAGAGTCCTGGATAGTGGCAGCTGGGTTTCAGGGCTAGGTCAAGAGAACACTGGCCTGCCACTCAAACACAGAGCACGGGGCAGCTGGGCTTTGTCCTAGAGGCTGCAAACTAAATTCTATCCATATTTCTCACAATGCTTTCTATTTGTCCCAGTGGATTGATCTTATAAAGCATAATTCTTTTATCATACTCTAATTTACATGAAGAAAGATGAAGAATTTAGATATATTATGTTATTCCAATGGAATTAATTTACATACCCAACTGTTCTGGACCTGAGAAACCTACCCAGAGTTGGTGGTTATTCATTTTATGTTATCCAAAAACTTTTATTATACAGGTGAAGATTCACAGACCACTGAAACGTGAGTCTGATTCATTTGGTTATAGTTTTTCCAAGAACTGAATGCTCCTTTACATATTTCTTGAAAAACAAACATTCTAGAAGGCAACAATGAATCAGCCTTGATCAAACTTGGAAAAGAAAATGAAATTACCTTTTGTATAAGGTCCAAATACATCTAAGTATTGGTGAACCAAACTCCATAGTTCTAAGACTCAGAGTTTGATTCCTATTTCGCAGGTATTAATACATTTGGTAAGATCCTCAATCTAATCTCCTGAAAGAAGACCTACCAGTTTCTCCATTTTCATTAACTTGATGTCCTGTTGATGCAGTTTCTCGTTCTTGATCTCCAACACAGCTTTCAGGCTTTCTAGTTCTTGCTCCAGATACATGATCTGAGGGTTCTTCTGGAAAAGACACAGTTCAACATTGCTCTGACTTGTTTCATACACTCATAGAGTCTCTTTAATATAAAGAATCTTTTAAAGTTAGACATTGGAAAAACAAGTAGCAAGTAATTTCCTCCTCCTTTGAGCAATTTTAGAGAAAGAGGTGAAAAAGAAGAATTAAGATCATTTAATCTCAAGGACTATAGTTGTAATATTGAAAACAAACATTTCACTCAATTATCAGTAACTTCATGCAGAAAATATATTGGTAGCATCAAAAATGTTATTGGAGCTGGGCTCTGTGGCACATGCCTGTAATCCCAGCAGCTCAGGAGGCTGAGGCAGGAGGATCACAAGTTTAAAGCCAGCCTCAGCAATGGTGAGGTGCTAAGCAACTCAATGAGACCACGTCTCTAAATAAAATACAAAATAGGGCTGGGAATGTGACTCGGTGGTTGAGTGCCCCTGAGATCAATCCCGGATACAAAAAAAAAAAAAGTTACTGGAAACAAGACTATTGCTTATAATACAAATGGAGCTCTGGCTAGAGATCAGGCAATCTACAAGTCCATTATTAGTGGTGTTTAGAGGGAGAAAAGAGAAAAACAGTTCTAAGAAAAGTCAGTACCAGATCAGGAATAAAAGACAGTTCACTTATAGGGCTCTCTGGAGAAATAGTAATCATGTCCTGAGTCTTTGAATTTTTTCTTCTGATAGTGTTGGCTTGGCCCTACTTCTAGGGTGGCCATAACACTATCATTTTGTATCCTGATATCCCATCAACTACCTGGCACATAGCACATAAAATTCTTCCCAAAATAAACAGTCATTAGGGGAAACATCCAGAGATCAAACCACCAGGATGGACCCCACACCACCCCATACCCTACTGCTTGCTTTATCGATAGAAATTCAACTGAACCATTCAAAATCTGTGATATTAATTAACAGCATAATATTTATTAATCAGATCTTTAACAAAAGACTTTTTTGTTAAAGATTCGAGATTCAGTAGTTGGGATGATCAAAATTACCCAATAGGGCATTATTCCCATTCTGGACCAATCCTGGGAGAATCGGGGAACAGGTCTTAGGGATTACTTAATCCCAGCCTCCAAAGCTTTACTTCACAGAAAGAGGAAACATGTTCGGCAAGTCAAGTGACTCACTCAGAAAAGGTCCAGAAAGGTATCAGAACCAGAAAGGATCTGAACAGGAATTGACACCTGGATCTTCAACTCTAAGCTCTTAAGTTTTATATTATACAATCTTTATACACATAACTTTTTTGCCCAGAAAATAACAAATCCCATCTCATCTCCCTCCAACCCCTGTAGTACTGGGGATTTAAACCAGGGGCTCTTTACCACTCTGGCACATCCCCAACCCTTTTTAGTTTTAAAGATAGGAATCTCGTTAAGTTGTCCAGGCTGGCCTCCAGGAGCTTGCTCTCCTCCTGCATCAGCCTCCCCAGTGACCAGGATTACAGGTGGCTTGGCAACAGATTTTAAGTGGCACAAAGCTTTGCTTCTGCAATCCCAGAGCACAAATACTTGTAATGGAAACAGTGGTACTAAGAACAGCAAGGACCGAAAAAAACAAAACAAAACAAAACAAAAAAAAAMCCCTGCTTTTTAAATTAAAAATAAATAAAGGAAAGGGCAGGGGAGTAGGGATACACACTGTAAGAGAAAGTTGAGCTTTCAAGATAAATTCATGTTTCAAAAGTAATGGTTTATTTATACAAAGAAACATCATTTACTCATAAAGGGAAATGAAGTTAAGTACTGGCATGTGCTCCCACATGGACAAACCCAAGAACGTCGTGCCAAGAGAAGAAGTCAATCACAAAAGGCCACACGCTACTGATCAAATGTCCACAATCAGCAAATCCATAGACATGAAAGGCTGCCTGGCTGCCTAGTGCAGGAGGTTTGGGGGGAAATGGGGAGTGATGGGTCAGGATACTATTTGAAGTGATAAAAATGTTCTGTAATTAGACAGTGGTGAGTGATGCATAATGAATATCCTCGAAAATGAACTGGAAATTTAAAAAGGGGAACTTTGTAATAAATCATATTACAATCATTTTTTTTTAAAAAGATGGTTTTCACATAAAACCCTGACCCTGATAGTTTCCTGTAGGTATTTGCTCAGACCACCCTGAAAATATTAACTTTCTTTCTGTCAGCTTTTAGAATGTAAAAAAGAAAGGAGATATCAGTAAACAAAGAGAAGCTGTTTTACATTTAAAAAAAAAAAAACAACTGCAAGACATCAAGGGGATTCCAAATTAGCATTAATTCTCTGGCTGCTGAACACTGAATCTGAGAGGCAACTCAGATTCAGTTTTTCAGAAGAAAAACTCAGTAGTGACAGACAGCACACAACTTACCAAATTTGCCTTCTCCCTGGATATTCTTTTTTGCTCTTCCGATTTCAGCTTTTCATTTAAAGCATCGTTTTCACTCTTCAGATCATTGATTTGTTTCTAAAAGACAAACAATGACATGTAGGATGTCAGTTAATCAGCAGATGGCAGAAAACAGAGCGAAGGTACACAGGGACATATCCAAACCACAGACATCCAGAATGATGGCTTTTTGTTTGGAGGAGGATATTGAGATTCACCCACCTCTAGTGATTCCTGCTTCTCAGAAAGTAAATCCTCAAGCATTTTCTTTTCCATTTCATGGCTCTTCTTGATTTCTGAAAATGAGATTTTTTTTTTTTTTAAGGCAGTAACATTCTGTGATTGCTGCACTCCACAGTTGCTGAAGCATACAGATGTATGAGCTCGTCATGAAGTTATGATGGTGCTACTTCACATCTGCATGATGCCTTCACGTAAATTAAGCAACCTGTTCTCAGAATGGCTTTATGAGGTGGGTAGGGCACTGAGACCCACAGAGCCAAGAGACTTTAGAAAGCACAGAATAGAGGGCAGGGTCTCAAAACAAGGGCTTCGGACTCTAGGTCTGGAGCCACTGTGTTCTTTTCAATGTGCACTTCCTCAACACAATAGCCTACTAAGATTAAGCTTGTTTCCAGCACAAAGATGGAAAAACAATGTTTATTAAATGTCTACTGTGAGCCAGTCACCTTCACCTAACTACCTATCGTCATCTCTGACCTCACGTAGCTCTATTTTTCTGATGAGAAAAGTCCTTGCTCAAAGTCACACAGCCCATTCCCACCACRTGTGCATGTGCTCCTCCCCAAGATGCCCCTGGCTGGTGTGAAGACTCCAGCCACACTGTCAAGTTCTGAAAGAAAAGGCTTCTTGTTCTTTTCCTTCAACCTCAATCTTTCCAGTGATGACAGGAGAGATAATAACAAAGGCTTCTTTCTTGATCCAGTGAGCGCCGCCTACATTTCACAGCAGTGCTGGTGTGCMAGGCGGGTACTGTGGCTCCTTCACTGTGGCACGATATAAAACTGATGCCTTCAACTTTCCAGGAGCATAAAATAGCAACCAGCTACAACAACCAACACCAAAAAGGCCTTTAAAATCTTTAAAAGTTCATACTGCTTCCTAAAAGACTGGCATTTATAACAAATGCTTATTTGTATCCTTAGGGAGAAAGGGCCTCCATTAACAATGAACAATATAAAAAGAAACCAAGAACACCCCAAGATGAATACCACAGGGCATTCTCTGGAGGGGAAAGTCTGAATCATTTCTGCTTAAAGAAATGTCATGTTTTTCCATTATCTCATTTTTAAATAGCAAATAACATCCTTGCCTGAAAGGGAGTTTTCATAGGCCTTCTTTAGCAATTCCACTTTCTCCGAGTGGTTAGCTTCAATTTCCAGCTTAGCGGTTTCATGGGCGGCATTTAAGTTGTCAAACTATGAGAAACAAACAAAACAACAGTTTCCTGGTAAAACCAAAAGTTCTATGTTGAATAAACAAGCAGCGACATTCAGTGACTTCATACAAAATGGCTCCAGAGCTTAAGGGCTGCCTAAGCCAAGGAAAGACCACGTGAAGAACAGCTCAATGTGCATTTACTGCTCTATTCCTGTCCCCAGGGCCCTCTGGTAGCAATGGCAGAGTCCATCCAAAGGATGCTTCACAATGACAGTGATAGGTGGCCCTGTCACACTCACCACCACATCCTCAGCCCCTAGCACAGGACTGGCATGTACAGTAGACACTGTGTAAATACTTGCTAAATGAAAAATTAAGCGAAAAGAGGTATATAATATCCTAGTCAGTGGGAAAAAAATGGGTTAGAGAAGAGGTGGTGAGGGGGAACGGGAGTGGAAGGAAGGAGGAGGAGGACAAAATTTGAACCAACACCAGTATGCTTCCAAATCTGGGTAGTTGGACAAAGGCCTGTTTTAGCCGGGAATGATGGTGCAAACCTGTAATCCCAGYGGCTTGGGAGGCTGAGGCAGGAGGATCACAAGTTCAAAGCCAGCCTCAGCAAAAGCAACGTGCTAAGCAACTCGGTGAGACCCTGTCTCTAGATAAGACAGAGCTGGGGATGTGGCTCAGTGGTTGAGTGCCCCTGAGTTCAATCACCTGCATCCCACCCCTGACCAAAAAAAAAAAAAAAAAGGCTATTTTAAATTTCATCTTTTCCTTCTTTCTTTTTCTTCCCTTCTCTAACTCAGCATATATACATTGCTTTGATCATAAGAAAAATTCAATCAAGACAATTTCTTTTAACCTATTCAATTAAAAGACCAAGGGAAACTCCTCGAGAGGTACGAACAGAGATTGAAGCTCAGCACACTCCCTCCAGCAGGGCACAGACCTGCTCTTGCAGCTGGATTTTATACTTCTCTGCTTCTTCAATGTAAATGTTCTGGAGCTTTTCACACTCTCCAGTGTAAAACTCCTTCAGCCGATTCTCCAGTTCTGCTTGGTCCGTCTGGTGCTGCTGGTTAAGCTTCTGGACAAATCCTTCATAGGCCGTTTGTAACTCATTCCTCGCTTTTTCTAATTTCTCACAGGTTGTYGAAGCAGCAACTGAGATGGAAGAGAAAGGGAAAGTTGCCGCTGAATTTGTTGAATGTCCTAAATTCACAGTGTTCACACACCCTGGTGGTGACTCCAGAGGCATACACAGTAAGGTCTCACTCCTCTGGTGACCAGTGCTAGTTTACATCTTGAATGTCCCCAAAGGCCCATGAAGGCTTGGTCTCCAGCCTTAATGCTATTGGGTGGTGGTGATTGGGAGGTCTTAGGTCACTGGGGCATGCCTTGAAGTGGATGGCGGGACCCCAGGCCCCTTCCTCCTCCTCYTTCATATCCCAGCCATGAGGCAAATGGTTTGCTCTGCCACATAATCCCTCCCCTCCCACCATGCTACACTGCCTCAMCACAGGCCCCAAGCAACGAGGCCAATCCACCACGGGCTGAAACCTCCAAAACTAAGTCAAAATAAGTCTTTTTTCCTTCATAACTGGATTATTTCAAGCGTTTTCATTACAGAACMGAAAGCTGGCTAACAAAACCAGATTTTCAAGCATAATAGTATATAACTGAACTATAAAAAGGAACAAAAGGGAATGATATCTGGAAGAAGCAACAACAAACAACCATAAGACACCCCAAAAGACTGACTACCAAGTGGTATGAGAAGAGCTGGGTTCCCAAGTAAAGATCACTCTCTTCTGTGATGACCAGTCTGGGCAATGGTCACAAAGAGAAGAGCCCAGATTGGCCAATGTATGTATGAATTGCTTTTCTTTATTTTGTTTTGTGATGCTATACTGGGGAAGAAACTCAGGGCCTTGTGCATGCTCTGCAAATGCTCTAGGTCACTGGCCACACCTTCAGCCTTTCTCTGGCCAAAGTATTTCTGATGACAAGCAACTCCACTCAGACCAGCCAGGGTTAGAAGCTAAGACACAGAAGGAGCAGCAGCAATCACACAAAAGAAACAAATGGACTTTTAACTTGTACTGAATTTGAGTTGATGGTAATTTGCTATTTCAAAAATATAGGTATAAAAACAAAATATTAGAATATACTAAACACAAATCACAAAAACCTTAGGAATAAAGTACTACCTTTTAAAAGCTCYAATATCAAATAAATATACTGAAAGGTTAGCATATTTTTAAAAAGCAAAGTAATATGATAAACACAATTTTAATGTGAGACATCTTCCCTTTTCCCTATCACTATTAAAAAGAGGACTATGCACAATATAATACATTGTATAACACAGAGATACCTATTTACACACTCTAGTAAATCCTAGAAGATCTCAAAAGTCTCAGGAAGCCTGACTTCAAGATTTCCCAGCCTTCCTTCACCACTGAAGAAACACAGGTAAACAGAACATCAGCGGGTTTGTGTTTTTTTTGTTGTTGTTGTTGTCACTGGGGATTGAACTCAGGGACACTCAACCACTGAGCTACATCCCCAGACCTATTTTGTAGTTTATTTAGAGACAGGTCTCACTGAGTTGTTTAGCACATTACTTTTGATGAGGCTGGCACTGAACTCTCAATCCTCCTGCCTTAGCCTCCAGAGCCGCTGGGATTATAGACCTGTGCCACCATGCGCAGCTGGTTTGTATTTTGAATACTGCACAGTGCCCACAGATTAACACAAAACAGTCACTGGTAAATCTGTTGAATTAATCTTTATCTTTCTTTTGGTTAAAAAAATACCTTTTAGGAATTATGAAAAAAAAAAACCTGTTTTAGGGCAAAGGATATTTTAGATCAATCATTATTCTACCTAAAGAATGTGAAATTGGCTGGTTCCTGGGTCAACTTCTTATAATGGTGTAGAATTGTTTCTCCAGGAATTTGCCACGTGGTGGTAAAACTAACCAAAGGCATTTGTCCCAAATCAGAATTCTTTCAGAGGTAAAGGAGGTCATGTKAAACTAGTGGCCAAGAATAATGTCTACCAAAGAGAACTCTTAAAAATAAATATTTACTGAAGAGGTGCTATAGTTTAGATTTTAAGTGTCCCCAAGGATCCATGAGGTACCAGCTTAGCCCCTAGCTAGGTGCTATTGAGAAGCAGGGGAACCTCTTGGAGGTGTGGACTTAACAGGAGGTCATCAGGTCACTGGGGTGTGCTCTAGAAGGGAACTGTGGGACCCCAGCGTCGTCTTCCTCTCTCATTCCCCAGTCACAAAATGGTTTTTGCTCTGCCATGACATATGGCCTCACTCAAAGTAACAGAGCCAACACATCATGGACTGAAACCTCTAAAACCGGGAGCCAAATTAACCTTTTCTCTTTCTAAGTTGGTTATCTCAGGTGTCTGACCAAGTGCTCAAGAGCTATCTCACACAAGGGGAAAGGAACGTTSGACGAGACAGAAAAGCAACTTGGTGACTGACACAGAACAGGGGTCCATACTTGTTGAACCCTGAGATCCTATGAGAACCCGATTCCTAAATGTACAAATAAGGGAACTAAMGCAGGGAGGGTAAATGCTTTGCCCCTAGGCACAGTGCTGGTAAATGGCAGAGGGCTGGATCTGGGCAAGCAGCCTGGATGCTGATTCAATCTGTGCCAGAGACTGTGCTCCTCCTGCCTTCCCCAAGCTGCCTCTTGTGCCAGGAGCTGGTGGGGAACAGGATGGCGCCTGTCCCAGGAGGCTCCTTGTCTAAGACAATACAGACACAAGCAGCAGCAATATTGGGCTACACCTAGRGTCCCAGTGAGTGGCACCCAAGTGAGTTCCCACCCAGTCGGAGCTGGGGGGAACCAGGGTTGGTCAGATTTTTAAAATATTTTTTAAAAAATTGTGGTAAAATTGACAAGACATAAAATTTACTGGTACAATTCAATGGCATCAAGTACATTCACATTGCACCATCCATCTCCAGAGCTTTTCTCTCCAGGCCCCCCCCCCAAACTAAAAATACATATCAACTGATAACTCCTCCCACCCTGCCCCAGCCCCGGGCAACCACCATTTCACTTTCACTCTCCAGACTGTGACTGCTCCAGGAGCCTCCCATGAGTGGAATCACACAGTTCTTGTCCAGCTTATCCCACTTGGCATATGGCCCTCAAGGTCACCAATGGTATAGTATGGTCAGGATTTCCTTCCTTTCTATGGCCAAATAACATTTTATCATTCATGTATCTATCTCACAAATTCACACATTTACCTGTTGATGGACACTTGGGTTGCTTCTACCATTTGGCTGACTGAATAATGCTGCTGTGAAAATGTGTATACAAATACCTGCTCTCAATTCTTCTGTGTGTACATATCCAGAAATTGAATTACTGGATCATATGGTGATCAYAGTTYTGATTACTGGAGGGACCACCACACTGGTTTCCATAGTGGCTGCATTGTGCTGTAGGAGAGTCTGGTTTCTCCACATCTCTGCCAAAATATGTGGAGCCATCCTGATGAGTGAGAGGTGGTATATTATGGTTTCAATGTGGTCAATAGGTTTTTAAACTAATCCACATGATATAAATAAATTCCTGGTATCAAGAATAAAAATTATACTCCAACATGAGCAGTAGCAAAAGACCAAACAGTGCGACCTTGGGGACTAAAAAGTTTACAAGCAGAAATGCTGAAGATCCAAAAGTAGACAAAGGCCAGATTACAGGGGCTATCCCATGGAAGAGTAGACAAGTAGCCCTTTGGGATTAAATATTAGAAATTAATTTTTTTTAATTTCATAAAAAGTTAATGACTATCTTAGGCTGGGGCTATAGCTCAGTGGTAAAGTCTAGTATGTGTGAGGGTTTGATTCCCCAGTATCAAAATACACCTTTCACGTTCACTGATATTCCATTGTTTATCAAAGGAGAAAACACAAAGATTCAATAAGTCAAATGTTAGTCAGATGAGTAAATAACACGTTAGCCTCCGCCAACTTACTCCACAGTATGCACAAATAAAATGACAGGACAGGGCCACAGGATGGGAACCTTTCTCTGAAGATTCCTGTGCGCATTCCATAGTAGACATTTATATGGACATGGCCAATAGAAAAATGCTTTGCAAACTTTCAACGATGGTATCAAATAGCCCTCACATCACAGAAACCTTGGTTAGACCTGGCCTTTTCACTTAATTCCTTTGGAATTTCAGATATCCGCAAAATTTTTAAAAAAGAAAAAAAGGACTAACATGATCTGAGCTCTCTGAAAGCTCCTATCAGAAACAGAAGTGCCTGAGTGAAGCCAGTAACTCAGTAATAAACTCAACCTGTCTCCATAAGTTACCACACCTGGCGGATTTCAATGCATTTGCCGATAATCAAACTACCTCCGTTTTTCTCTATATAGCTATGGTACAGAGTTTCAAGTCAAATAGGATACACAGAAATCCGTTCACATTAGCCACCGGACAGGATGTTTCCTCTGTTYAGCAAAAACAAAAAGTCCAAATAGTGTGCACTCTTGTTGGCCACCACGAATGAGGTGAGGTGAGGACAGACGGGAGGGACCGGGAAAGGAAAGAGGAAGAAAAAGGGTCAGATGGGCAGCGGGTAGTTTACTGCTGTTATTCCAACAGTCCAAAGCTGCAGGCCCAGCCCCAGACGGTGACATCAGCCTGCAGCTGTGCAGAGACCTTTGCTCTGTTTACTGGACTGTGGTGTGCTGTGTGGAGAACAGCTGGGGTGCAACAATTATCACTCACACAAATGGCTGTAGTTTGAATCCACTCGCCTGGGCTCCGAGGGAGACATTTATCTGGCATGAGGAGTCCAGAGCTACTTTTAAAGGGATGCACATGTAAACACTGAATAAAGGGTTTGCCTAGTGCTTCATCTCTGCAGGGACACACTGTGCAGGGAGGGAGTGGAGGGATGTCACCCCATGGACTTTCCCTGGTACTTATCACAGCACAGGAGACATCTACGACATGCCTATGCTGCCTCCCACTCCTGTCCTCAGTCTTGCTCATTCCCACGCTCAGTTTATCAAACAACCAACTTTTTAAAGAACTKACTACATGAACACAGAATCTACTTGCTGAAGCCAAGGAGGCATTTTGTCCTTGTTTCAATCATTCTTAGA